ATTCTAGTGCTGAAAATCCACATCCCAATAATCCTACAGGTTGATATACTAGCGCTAAAAGTCCACATCCCAGTAATCCTACAGGTTGATTTACTAGTGCTGAAAGTCCACATCCCAGTAATCCTACAGGTTGATATACTAGTGCTGAAAATCCACATCCCAGTACTCCTACAGATTGATATACTAGTGCTAAAAGTCTACATCCCAGTAATTCTACAGGTTGATTTACTAGTGCTGAAAGTCCACATTCCAGTAATCCTACAGGTTGATTTACTAGCGCTAAAAGTTCACAACCCAGTAGTTTTATAGATTGATATACTAGCGCTAAAAGTCCACATCCCAGTAATTCTACAAGTTGATTTACTAGCGCTAAAAGTCCACATCCCAATAATCCTACAGGTTGATTTACTATACTTTACTTTCGAAACGGATAAATATATATATATTTAAAACTGTATTTAATTGTTTAAATAAAATAAAGGTGACACCTGGAGACCGATTGAAAATATGTTATGCTAATCAATTTATAAAAACAGGTATGGAAAATTATCTTAAATAGTAAGTTTTAGGAAATTCAGCATTCACATTACACGAAAAAAATAAGCAAAGAATAAAAATTATTTTTTTGACAGAGATGAAACCAATGAATGGAGATCACTGGTTCCAGGATCTAGATTAATTCCACAATGTTGAACAGTGTTTAGATTAGCAATCCAATAAGCTTCTTCTATTTCTCTATCTGTTTTAGTTTTGAATCCTGTATCAATGCCGATGAAAGTAACATCGTTAATGGAATGACCGGGTTGGTTAAAGTGTTGAGCAACAGGTAGATCTTTTTGGTGTTAATAGAAGATTTATGGTTGTTGAAACGTTCTCTAATGGTTGTTTGTGTATGTCCTACATATTGGTGGTTGTATTTTCTACACTGTATAAGATAAATGGTGTTTTTGTTTCACAAATGATTTATTTGGATATTTTATAGTTTCTTTGATTGTGCTTGTCAGAAAATGAGTCAGTGGTTTTTATGAACTTACAGGTTTGACAACGGGCTTTATTACATGGACGACAAACACTTTTGGGTGAACAAGGATATCTTTTAGAGTTCTGCTTTTTCGGAGGGAGACAACGGGAACTTCAGGAAATATCTGTTTAAGGCGATCGTTCAGTTGTAGGAGATAAAAATGTTGTTTTCAGATTGAGTTTAAACTAATAGGTAATAATAAGAGGAATTCTATTTGAAACTTTAGTATTGCTGTGTTTTAGGATATTTTCCTGCTGAGTGTTGTTAGGCTTTTCGATCTCTCTGTCGATATCTTTATATCCTCTTTGTAACATGGTTTGTTTAATATCCTTGATGTGTTTGCTGTAATCTGTTTCATCTGAGCATGTTTTCTTTATTCTAAGAGCTTGACTGTAGGTAATGTTCCGTTTAGTGTGAGAGGGGTGACAGCTTTTATAGCAAAGGTATTGTGGTCTGTCTGTAGGTTTTTTGTACACGTCAGAGTGTAAAATTCCGTCTTTTAGAAAAACAGTGACGTCAAGAAAGTTAATCTGAGTAGGCGAGTAATCACAGGTAAACTTGATTGTTTTGTGAAAGTGGTCTGTATGTGAGATAAATTCTTTAAGTGATTTAAGACCGGCTGTCCAAATAAAAAATATGTCGTCTATGTAACGTTTCCATATATGAGGTTTTACAGGGCTTAGTTGTAAAAGCTGGTTTTCAATATGACCCATAAAAATATTGGCATAATTGGGAGCCATTTTGGTACCCATTGCAGTATCGTTAACCTGAAAATAATGCTCGTTATTGAATTCGAAGTGTTCAGAATTAAAACCAGGCTGGCGAGATCAGTTACTGTTTGATATTCTGATTGTTCAGAAAGATTTAATGCGGACTTTAGAGTTTGTAGTCCTTCATCATGTGGAATATTGGTGTAAAGGGAAGAAACATCCATCATGCAAAGAAGACTGTTGGGTGGTAACTGTCTGTTAGTATTAATATTTTCTATGATGTTAAAAACTGAGTAGTATCCTTTATGTAAGAGGGGAGGGTACAGGGAATACATTTTATGTGTTGGTCAACAAAAGCTTTTCAGTAGCCATATTTATATTAGCAATTATGGGTCAGCCAGGCTTGTTTGGTTTGTGCATTTTGGGTAAGAGATAAAATCTAACAAAGAAAGCTTGTCTGAGCATCAAATACTGAAAGGTCTCTTTGTTAATTTTACTGTTTTGGAGAAGTTCTTTAAGTTCATCAGTTATGGTCTTAATAAAGTGAGTTGTAGGATCATGTAAGCGTTTTTGTAGAAATTAGTGTCCTCTAGTGGCCGGTTGGTTACCTTACGTGATATAATAATCTTTGATAAGAATAACAATAGCCCCACTCTTGTCTTTAATTAAATATTTCTTACAATTTATTATCGTTTACCTAGATGGAGCCACGATCGTTTAGAAGCAATTATCTTTTATGTATATTTCCCAGTTTGAAAGACGTTCGCTATATCGTTATTGTATAGGAATCTAAATTGATGGATAAAGGCTGCAAGAAATCATTCATTTTATTACTGTGAGTTTGGATAACTAGGTCAACAAAAATAATATGTTTATGCATTATTCCTTTGCGGCTTCTGCTGAACAAATTAAAAGCATAAAAACATACTTAAATCTGCCCTTCCAAGCCGCACCTTTGAATTTAATATTTCAATAAGTACACAATTTCCTAACACAAGAAAAGAGTGATAGATTCCTATCAGATTAGCTGGCCAACAGGCAGTGAAGATCAAGGGCAATTCCATTCACAACTACTATCTGATCTGTCGACAAGAATAACTCAGATTACTAATTAAAAACAACGTTGTTATTCCTGCAAGATAAGCATACGTTAGTCCTTAGTTAGTCTATTTTGTCACTTAGATAAAGCAAAAATTAGTAATTCACTTGAGCGCCCCCTACATCCAACCAAAGAACTGTGCAAAACAGCATAATGTCGAACATTTTACTTTTTAATTAAAAACCTATAGCACGTGGACTGGGATGTGGACTTTTAGCACCAGTAAATCAACCTGTAGGATTACTGGGATGTAGACTTTTAGCGCAGGCTGGAAATGTCTCATCTAAATATATAACTGTGTTTTAATATTTTTAACCGATATATTTCCACCCTGCGGGCTAAAAATGTCTCATCTAAAAGTTTACAACACTAGTATAATAAATTGACGGATATACATCCAGTCGAACTCGAATATTGTCATTATGTCCTCCATCAATGACAGACTTATATGTTAAGAAAGTCCTCTTATGTTTGTACGAGGGGAACTTCTATAATCTCGGTATTTGTCTACAAAAGAAACACTTGTTCCTTTCACCGGCAGAAATAACGCAGTAGGGACAATACTTCACCAATTTACCGTTAAAAAGATATCTGTGTTTATAAAACTGTTATGAAAGTGTCTCCCTTCTTTACCATTTACCTTTTATTCTGTAATATAAAAACTTAGATAATTGTAACTTATGGAGAACCGTGTGATATGACTTATTCCTGTTACTACAGTGAACTCTACTAAATATTGTAAACAACAGAAATATAACAAGGA